CGCATTCCCTTGTTCATTGCATGCTATCCATTATCCCTATGGTTTATATGTTTCATGCTGGAGCCACCAAACCAGACTTGTTGCTTGATTCTTTCCTCACGTTTGGTGATGGATTGCCCGAGTAGTTTGTATACTTTACCTGGAATGTGATCCCGACTATTACGCTTCCTGTTTTAGTATGGAATTACATTTCAAGCAAGATTGCCCAGGTTACTCATCCGGTGGGCGGTTTCTTGGATTTCCTGACCGCTGCTAGCCGCACCTGGACGGAACGCCCTGGCATCGTTGCTGGGCGATCGTTAGGGGGTGGATCCAAAGTCAGGATAAGTACGATACATTCATGTTCCTCAATATTTCCCACCCAATGGCTTTGTTTGGTAAATGCCCTTTTGGTGGGCATATGAACTATATAATGTTTCGGTTCGCAGTTTCATTCATATCCGTTCCATTGCGGGGATGATCCACAATGGCTCATTCGCTTCAGATGTGTTAAGACCAATCAGGGGTGAAATCTAGTAAGTATGATGACATCGAACCAACAAAGGGCAGATAGAAACCAATTATGAATAAGATTGAAAGAATGCACACATTGGCATTTCAGCCAAAAAATATTGCAGATAAGAACCACCAATGATTGGGTTGCAGCATCTGAATCAACTGCTTCAAGGGAGATGCTTGACATTTGCTGTTACATAGGTATGGGCCTAAACTCTAAACCTTGCTTTTTACCCTGGTTGAACATCATCAAGATCCGTGAAAAGCTACGAAAGAGAGTCCATAGTACCGTGGTCAATGTGACCTTGAAACATACAGCGTCCATAACCATAAACCAGTTTTCATGTTCGGACCTTTTACTGTGAGTCCATTTGCACAGATGTGTGTTGATTCAGTGCCAACATAAAACCCAACCAAATTATTGTGTCAAAGCCCCAACCTTGGGACGCTGACTTCTACCCACGCCCATGTCAGCAGCTTGCTGTGTAGCGAATGTCTCACAATCAGGGACCGCTTTGTTGTTGAAACTCAAGCCCTGTATCTTTTTTCCGAGCCACAGGAATATATATTGCTTGCTTGGGCAGTACCATGCTGAAATACCCAAATTGGAGACAACAACACGATGTCATGCGGACTTTAGCTTTCGGCAGTACCAGCAGCGTAGCAGCCATTGCTTTTTATAGTATTCTATAAATATATATATATATAATTATATATATATATATGTGCGTGCGTGTGCTGCCTCTGTTCATCCGAAGTGTTTGGTGCTTTGCCTACCTGAGGGTCAAAATTTAACACCCACAAAACCATTTCAATGTTGGTCATGTATAAGGTCGATATCAACCATCTGATTTTGGGGGTACCCAATCACTTGAAAAATCCCTGACTGAAACCTTTGCCAAGGCTTCTCAGCGCCATCCAGCAGATTGCCAGGCAAAGCTGGTTTGGTTTATCCTTCAATAGTTTAACTGTGTGGATATACAGGAAACGTATTTGCCAGAAATACCGCACGAGGCGGTGGCGGAAGTTTCAAAATAGGAAACCTATAGGAAAGGTTGGTCGTTGTGAAGCACGGATGGCAGGACGAACCCACTGATGGATCGAAAGGCGGTTGGAGTGCCGGGCCGAGCAATGACACTTCAACCTCGAAAAGTGGACTGCACTGAACGTGGTGTGCTTTGCACCTTTTGACTTCAAATTGTCTATCACGCCACAACGGCGTACACTTTTTCGGCAGCTCAACTTCCAAAAGCGGTCCGGACGTGTAGTGCTTTTAACATTTTGACTTCCACATGTGCCTCGCGTCCCAACTGCGTAAACTTTTTCGGCATCTCAACCTCCAAAAGTGGTCCCAACGTGTGGTGTTTTTAGCAAGTTCACGTCGAAATATGTTGCGCGCGACAAGCGCGCACATTTTGAACGTCTGAACTGGCAAAAGCGCTCCGAACCTGAGGTACTTTGACCATTTTGACTTCGAAGTCTGCTTCACGCCACAACGCCGTGCACTTTTTGAACATCTCAACTTCCAAGAGTGCTCCGAGAATGGTGTGCTTTTTGGCATTTTGACTTCGAAATCTGCTCTTCATTGAGCAGGAAAAAGTCTTCGATGTTGACATGTGACGTTCTTGCATCCATACGAAAAAAGCAGAAAATTGCCCTGGCTGTGATTATGTCTTGTTTGCGACAGAAGGCTTCAAACATGCACCCCAACATGGCTGCGAACATCAAATCTCTGCGAAACAAACACAATCATGTGGAAACGCATCACAGGGATTTGCTGCTTTGCCACAAACTTCGGTCTTCAGCAGACGACCTTTTTTTTGGTTCGAATTCGCTGCTCTCCCCTGCAGCTGGAAAGGTTTTCAGCCGCGTGCAGCATTGCGCCACAGCAAACTTTGTAGGCTATTGTACTCTTCTGCGTAAAATGCGGCAAATCGTCAAAACGATCAGCTGGAAATAAGCGGGAGCCCCAACAAGCTCGCTGGTTCGAACCTATGTGTGTCCACTAACAACTGCATGAGAACAAGTTGGCCACTTCGAGTCAGGACACCTGCCCCAGCGGATGGCCTTATTCAAAGACACCCTGAGGTGAGGAGCCTTCGGTCTGTGCGCCTTCACGGTGCAAGGTGCATCAGAAAAGTCGCTACCTCCACTGCGTCTTCCTGACTACAAGAAGCCACTGCAGAGCACCACGTGGAAGACGTGCAAGTCATTTCCATCTCCTGTGAAGGATCCAGGTGACAGCTGGCATCCTGCGAGCCGCTGGCTGCCTGCGGCCCAAAACAAGTTTGGCCCATCTGCGATGCGGACTTTCATCGCCGCGGATAGGGCTGAGGGTGTCATCTTCACTTCCCTCTTCGTCTTGCAACAGGTCGTCTGAGTGACATAAGTCTTCTGTCAGTCGAGACTCTGGAGGATCCAAGTCAACCTCCTCAGCAAGCATAGCGAGACGAGAAAAGCGAAGTGGAGCCACACGCTCGTCTTCCGAATCCGACACCAAAATGGCAGGCTGTAGCTGCAAGAGCTCCGAGTCATCCAGCACCTGATGGGCAAATTTTCGCCGACAACAGAAACATGAGATAAAACTGAGATTGCCATAACACAAAGAAAGTAAGTAGACCAATCACAAGAGAATAGAAAAAGGTTCAATAGACGACATGATAGTGGCAACATCTGAGGCAGTTTGTATCTTTGGTGACTCTCCCAGTCACCGTCAGCAGATTCAGGCTCCGTGCGTGGCTCGGGCGCAAGTAGTGCTGAAAGTTTCTGCCTAACCACATATGTTGAAGGAAGATACAGAGACCTCAATCACACATTACTTACCGTACAGTACGAAAAAAACACCATTGTAAGTGATGATCATTCAGGATCAACAGTATATCAAAAGCTATTCCTAAGGTTCATAAGTTGTCATGAAAAAATACTAGTTTGGATTAGATGCCAACTGTCAATCCCTCCGCTATGCACATCATCAGCAGTCATCAGGGAGCAATGGCACCGCGACGCCAAAGTTCTCACATCAAGGCCAAGGCTAGCGGCGTCTGGCCCCTGGAAAAAAAATCTACGCACAAACCGAAGCCCACTGGTCTCTCAAGACGGGCCACGACCCACGCAACAGCTGCAAATCATGAGGAGCCGCCATGACAGCTTGCACTGCATGTGGTCCCAAGTCGAAATTTGTAGACTGAGAAACAACACTGCAGGGTGGGGCCAGGATCTCATCAAAAAAAATCTATACAAGTAGTGTACGTCATAGCGCAGCCATGTTGATAACACAGGAGGCAGCGACTGCCGCGTGAGACGCAGCAAGATCAAACACGTCAGTGCCAGAACTACTTGATTTATCATGCCTAATGCGTCCCCATGCGCGTCATGCCCAACGTAAAAAAATACAAAGTAATTTTCACAAAACCAACATAAAAATCTTTTTACTTCCAAATCACACACCGTTCCCCACGCAGTTGCATGCCAAGGCCCGCAGCATCTGAGTATCTCACCTGACACCGGCGGCGACAGAATATAACCAACAATGATGGGTGAACAACAAGTATCTCAGTTTTTATGTCAAAATTAAACGTATATATTTTTCACATACAAATAGATAACTTTGCAGCACCACCCCACCCCATGCGTGGCGTAGCATCAACTTCCGAGGCAAGCTCACACGAACGTTTACATGCCCCACCACACACCGCATGCGTGGCGTAGCATCAACTTACAAAGCAAACGAACGTACAGCAGCATAGCATGACGTGTGTGGACAAGTGCAAAAGAATGTACAGCAGCGTAGCATGACGCATGTGGAGAGCACAGTAGCATGACGTGTGAGTGGAAGGGCAAGAGAACGTACAGCAGCGTTGCATGACGTGTGTGTGGAAGGGAAAGAGATGAAAAAATAAGACGCCGTTGTGGCACGAAGCACATGTCGAAGTTAAAATGCTAAAAACACTTCAGCTTCGGAGCACTTACGGAAGTTGAGATGTTCAAAAAGTGCACGGCGCTGTGGCGCAAAGCACATTTTGAAGTCAATACAGCGGGTTCGGAGCACTTTTGGAAGTTCAGACGTTCAAAAAGTGCACGGAGTTGTGGCGGGAATGGGTGCTGCCAAAAAAACACCAGCTCGGAAACCCATGCATGTTTGCCACATGTGTGGCAAAGCCGGGCACCACGCCACCGCTTGCCCACAGCTAGCTCAGAATGTCTTGAAAGTTTTGACCAAGCAGCGTCGGGCAGAAGATTTGTCAGAGCACCTGCAGCAAGGGAAAAATCTGTTGTGCACTGGTGTGAAAACCAGGCCGCGACGTTCTTTGAAGCGGGCATCAGGACGTCGTGCTTCATCCCCGCATGCTTGGAAGGGAGCCACCGCATCTGACAAAATGAAGAAAAGAGCCCGCAAGCCAGCTTCCAAGAAAAGTCTGGCTTTGGGGGCAAAAGAATTGTTCCATGCAAAGCAAGTACTGCGAAAAGGACGTGGTCCAAGCGTTCAATCATCTGAAACAGCAAGGATGGTTGTCCCAGCCCACGCTATGTCAGTGTGGAGGTGCATGGTATCGGGCTTCTTGCAGAGAGTCTCAGCACCGTGGTCGAGGCCGTCTTCCTGGCGATGCCGAGATTGTCGCCATTTCAGCGATGCTATGGACCACAGTTTGCTTCCTCGCGTGAGAATGCCATTTTCTCATGTCGATGCAGCTGTCTCCTCGTACTTCACTGGATCTCAAGGCCCAAGTCTCCAAAAGATGGCCGCTCATGGTGGTCGCAGCAAGTCTTCCCTTCAAAAGATGCGCTCAGCACTTCTTGGAGCAGGAGCACTATGTGCAGAGAAGATCCAAAGGAAGAGACGCTTGACTGGCTTGCTGGAGGCCGATGCTACATCTTTGCGGAAGATGAGGTTGGGAAAGACGAGGACGCTGCGCTACTTCCAAGCCTTTGGTGTGGTGAAGCGCGAAAAGCGTGTGGTGCAGCTTTACAACTTTGGCCGGACAAGAAGAACCAAAGTAATTTCATGTTTGATTTCACGGTTTAAATTCCATTGACGGATTGTCATGATATCACATCTTGTAATTTTGAAAGCATTCCATGTCTGAAATTGAAAAGTGATGGGCTCCCTTTCAAACACAAAATTGCACACTTGACTGCTGACGAACACGTTCATTTGCCAGGCCATGCTGATGCCAGGAACTTTGGCAAACCACCACTGGAAAATGCGCAAAGCAATGAACGTGCAGGTGGTCTTGACGGAGTGAACCCCCATGGAACTATCTTGTGTTCCGACGAAGCCAAAGTGTACCCCAGCTCGTGCCGTAAAAAAGAATCAAGCACTTGCCTTGCTCGCACGGACAGAAGCAGTTCGTGGCAAAAATGCGGGTTAACAACAAAATTCTCACTGTGCATACCGGCACAATCAACAATGTGTCCGGCACATGATCAAAAATCTTTGTCTACTTCCTTGAACACCAAGGATACCAAAAAGCCAGACTGCCTGAATCGCAAGATCTGGCAACATGTCCGAGCTTGGCAGTGGCGTTGGGAATATTCAACACACCACAATTTGAGCCAGCTCAGTGCTGCCAACCTCGTGAAGAGCAATTAGGGAAGAAAGGGTCCGCCGCTGGGGTTTTCAAAGAATTGAGGGCAAACTGGGCGCAGGATATTTCTATTTAAAAGGCACACGCATTGAGATTAAACAGGCAAAAAATAGCCTCCTGCCAATTTCCACTACTAAATGCTATGACCTACGTCCCGGAAAGTGAACCAAAAAATTAGTGTGAAATTTCTAGAAACCATTTAGTAGAGAATCATGATTTTTCAAAAAAAATCAAGTAAACATCTCTAGACCCATGATCCACATTTAGTAGAGAGGTAAAAATGATATGTTAATCATATGATGTCAAATGTTGTTTTTTGGGTAAAACCATTTAGTAGAGATGTCAAAAAAATGTTGCAAAATCACAGGAACCATTTTGTAGAGGTTGCGAAGTAGAGTTCATAAAACGGTCACAATGAAATGAGACAAAACTGAAAAACCATTTAGTAGAGATTCCCATTCCGTTGCCCCCGATTACCGTTTGGCCAACCCACCGTGCTGCCTTGCCTTTTTTGGGGGCGATGCCAAATCCCTCGTTTGGGTGTTTCTTGCTCGTCGGGTGCTTACTAAATGGATGGTCATGGGATCAGTCTATCTAGAACTGTTTCACACAAAGCCCTGTTGCATCCTTGTGTGCCCTATTATCCCTTACGTGCTATGGAACACCATTTTGTAGTCCCAAAATGTCCAAAATCTATCAAGATTTCCCCTGCTTAGCCAAGTGCTGCCTCTACTAATGGATGGTCATGGGATCAGTCATATGTGTTTCATGTTGTTTTCTCTACTAAATAGACCCCGTGTATTTCTCTACTAAATGGCTTTGGGGTTTTGGTCGAGTGATGTTGGTCCCGCAACTTGTGCTCAAATGAGTACCTCTACTAAATGGAACAGGGTGTTTGGTCGAGTCATGTTGGTGTCTTAAGACACTCTGAAAACATATCCAAATTTTGCGCTTCAGCTGAACCAGGGGCCCACATTTAGTAGTGAAATTCGATCATGCATGCGCATCCATTTAGTAGAGCTTGAGGCTATTCAAGCCGTTTCTTCACTACAAAATGGTTGCACAGCCCCACCCCTTAGAAGACAGGGGTTTCAAAAAATGCTTATTTTTTGTGAAACCAAAAAACGAGCGATTGAAACCTGAGTTCGATAAGCAACATGCCCAGATGATGACAATGACAAAACGTGATAATTTAACTGACGAACCAGGAATACGACATGACAACCACTTTCCCGGAAACCTTTCAACTCTTCGCAAATCTCCCAAATGTACTTGCAATTGTCTTGCCAAAAAATGCCCACGCGGTTGACAGCTTTGGCACCAGATGGCTCCGCACCCACCGCTTTAGTAACCCTCCTTTTCGACCCTCGGGAGCCACGAAACATCGGAAAACCACAATGTTCCCACCTTTTCTACCTTTTCGCGCACGCACCTGCATCTTCCTTCTTCTGACTGTTTCTCTTCTCTGATCTTTCTTCTGCCTTTCTCTTCTCTGACGCTTCCCACCTGTGTTTTTCCATCTATCCATATTGTCGGAAGTTTGACTCCTAAACTTCTTTCGACCAGGCAAGTGTGTTTAGATAGTTTTGTGATGTTATACCCTGCCAACAACTTGCTTGGCAGGGCATCAAAGGTTGAGAACCCTTGACATGTCATATGGAAGACACAATATCCATAAAGATTGACATGGAAAGCAATTTGTAATGTTTGGAAGTATTTGTTTTGGTTTCCAAGTGTGAAACCGCACCTTTTTATCCTCAAATCAGATCTGATTTGTCGGACGAAAAACCCATATCTTAGATGGATTCACCTGTGCAAAGTTTGGAGTTGGTGTGTTTTCTGAAGTGTGCTGAGATATGGCGGCAAGGTGGCAGCCACTTCAAGGGCAATGGACATAGTCCCTGAACACTGAAGTAGTTTCTTCACAAATTCTAAGCCAAACCCCAAATCCGAAATCCCCGGCTGCAGGGACCGGGCCTGATTGCACCCTGCCAGGCCTGTTTGATCTTCTGGCCCCTTCGTGGGTCTCCTGACACTTCGCCAGCCAAGTACTACCAAACTTGTCAGGTTCCTCCAAGTTGACGTTCCATGGACTACATGGGAAGAAACGATAAGAAGCGAACATCCAAGGGACACACATAACCAGCAAAGGGTACCTCACTCGATGAGCAATAGATATAAGATAATTTCAGATCCTATTGTTCTTTTCTGGCACCACCTCGCAGCAAGTAGTTGGAGTGTTGCTCAGCAAACATGAACAGACCAACATTTCCTGGACATGGCAGCAGCTGTGCTTCGTGAAAATCCGCAGCCCAAACATTTCAACACGGTTAAACCTGCCCCCAGCAATTGACAATTGAAACACTGTTCATTGTGTTTGGCACCTGCGCCAGGCGCCACCATTGGATGCTATCCTTTTTTGGAGCCCAAGGTGTGAGTTGGTTTCAAGCTCAGCTTCATGGCACCGGAGGGAAGCTGTTCAGAAGGCGGATGATTTAAATTCAATGGGCTGATTTGTCCGAAATCCACCGAGCGTATCCGTTTGTATCCGTGTCCAAGGCTAAAGCCAGTTTAGTTTAAGAGGCAAATCATCCATAAGGTCACAACGTGTTCTTGACTGGCATGATACCAGAGGATGACGATCTCCCTGAGGTTTGCTTGGATGGGGAGGCACCGCTTCCTGAGCCAAATCTACGACTGCTGCCGGCGGGAGTGTTGCGCTAAGGGGATGGCAGTTTAGGGTTCAGGGGCTTGCCAACAGTTTTTCATTAGTTTTTGACCCCAATGGCTAGGACAATACAGCAAAAGAAATGCGTAGACAGTTGATACTATCAGGTAGACAGATGCATGCTCAGTTGACTGTTCTACATGTTGCCCTTTTGACATGTACCTTTTGCTGTAAGAAAAAATGCCACTGCTGCACGTTCCTGACGCGGGCAATTCAGAAGGTCCAACATCACTGAACAAGTCATCGCGGGCGAACCCAACGCTCAAAACTTGGGCGTTTGAATGCACAGACGACCTGATCACTTTCCCTAGCGAAGAATTCCGATATGTGGCTCCCATGCTGGTAGGGAAGAAGAGCGGGCTGTCGTGGGTCTCCTTTCAAATCGACCAGCGTGGCTTCCATGAGTGCACAGCCTCGCTGGTAGGTCTTGATCCCTGACATTGCACAATGCGCAAGAAGACCATATTGAACCTGAGTAAGAGAGAAGCTAGAGAAAGTCCAGCAAGTCTTGAAGCCACAAAAATCTCCAGCATGGCTGTTTCTTTTAAATTTCAGTGCCCTCAAATTATATATATATACATACATATTGATTCATATTCATATATATATTATGGTACCCTTCCTCTGAGATCTACCTTAAAGCATTTGTAGCACATATACATATACATATACATGTACATATACATACACATACACATGCACATACACATACATATACATATACACACATACATACACAACCAAACCAATACAAAAAAAAACTAAGATTTGGGACACGCTGGTGGCTTTCAGCCAAAACCCAAAAAAAAATAGGACCCCGGGGGGGTCCCGACCAAAACCCCCAAAAAAAAACAAACCAAAAAAAGAGTTGGGACCCCAGGGGGGAGAGCCCAAAGCCGTGCTTTCTAGAGTAGGTCTATATTTGGGGGTTTTGGTTGGGGACCCCCCTATGGGGTCCTAAATCTTGGGTTTTTTTGGTTTTGCTTTTTTTGGGTCTTGGTTTTGGCTTTGGCCTTCCCATTAGGGTCCAAAATCTTTGGTTTTGGACCCAGGTCCAAGATCCAAGATTTCTACCCTGGATCCAAGAAATGTTTCTTGAGAATCTTGGATCTTTGATCTTGGATCTGGATATATTTGGATCCAAGATTTCTGCCCTGGATCCAAGAAAAAAATTGGATAATCTTGGATCTTGGACCTTGGATCCTTACAATGTCAGACTTGAGATTTTCAAGTCTGAACTCTTTTCAGGCTTGAGATTCTGAGGTCAAAGGAACTGAGGCAAAGGCAAAAACAAAGCATGAACTTCAGACCAAAACATCCTCTGAAAAGTTTTCGTTTTTGTTTTTTTGTGGTTCTATCGAAGTTTTGTTGGAAGGCATACCCACATCCCGTAAGAGTAGCAGCCGTAGTTTCAGCAAGCTATTGCACAAATTCTGAATTTGGCTGGACACGATCCAGGTAGGTGTCCATTGTTTGCTGATGTTCTCAAGGTTTGAGCTGCCTTTCAGAAAGTTACCTAAAAGCACGGGAAAAAAATCAAGACAGCCAAGACTAGAAAATATAACAAGCAAACACGCTTCAGCTTAGACTTTGAAGTTTGTTGTCAAAGCAAAATTATCCAATATAGGCCTTGTGCAGCAGTATGTTTCAATGAATATGACCTTCCTAGCATTGAGGCCTACCATTCCTTGCATAAAGTGACATCATTTTGTACAGTCTCATCACATAAAGGAGTGCAGCATTTATCTGAAAGGAATGTAGAGTTATTTTCAATGAGACATCCAGCTGCGAAAAGCTATAGAGGAGTGCAGCATTTCTTTGAAAGGAATATAGAGTTATTTTCGAAGAGACTTACAGCTGTGCAAAGTTCTGTTGAAGAGGTAAAGAATCTTTATGGAAGGAGGGCAGCACTACGACAAAATGAGTTCCTTTAATTAACCATTTTAGCCGATTATGATATTCTTTAAAGAAAGTGTTGGTGCAAGTGTGTGCAAAACCTTCTTCACAACGGAGTGAGCCGCTTGATTGAAAGCCATGCAATAATACAAAAGCATTTCTATGAAGTAGAACCCTTGGGTGTATGTAGTATTTTTTGAAAGATACATGTCATGGTTGTATGCATGCAATATGCCCTTCCATATGAGTGAAACGCCTGAACAAAATAGGCAACATCATTTTGAATAAATTAAGTCTTTCCTTTAAAGACAACTGTCATTCAGAAAACATGATAGTGAAGCTGAATTTCGTTAAAGGATGTATTGCATCTTTCCACATAGTGCATTTTTCTGCAAAAAGATGCTTCTTATTTGAGGGAATGCCTTGTCTTCAGGGCAATTATTTTGAAGAAGTTCAGCCTTTTCTGAAAAAATGAGCATACAAGAAAATGAGAGGAAGGCTGAATCTATAAAAGGATGTACTTCATCTTTCTACATTTATAATTTTCTTACAAGAATAGTGCTTCTCATTCAAGGGACTATCTTGTCTTCAAGGCATATTGTAACCTGTAAGCAGCATTTTTCTTTTAACAACAATCTTTTTCGAGGAGCAGCAATACTCAATATTAATCACACACTGCATATTGTGTAGGAATCTGTTGTTTTGAAAGAATCACAGTATGATCGAATGAAGGCTAAATAATTTTCGGGAAGAAAACTGCACTTCTTCAGGAAAGGAACACTGCATGTTTAGAGGAATGCTCTATATGTTGTAGGGATACTGCTTCTTTAAAGGGCTTACAAAATCTGCATGATCAAACTCACTGCATAATTTATTGAAATTTGCAGTGAGTTTGATCATGCATGTCTCTGGAAAAGCATCAAAGATAGATTTTAGGGGGGCTAGCATATGTGTATATATAACTATATATATCTCTCTCTCGACTTCAATAAGATGACCATACACGATGTTGATCAAGCTTAGTACGGGCAATCACCCCATAATATTGTAACCTTCTCGGCCTTCTCGTCCTTATTTCAGGCTGATGAATGATCATAAACCATCCGAATATGTTAAGATATAAAATGTTAGCATCTATCAGTCCTGGCCCCCCCAGACTACCTTCAAGGCAATGTCAACACAATCATGGGGGTTGATGTTGCAAGGTTGTACTCGCACCTTTTTATCCACACACTTGCCAGTGCTGCCACTTGTGTTCATCCATCTGATTGGTGACCAAAATCGGGCACCCAATTCCCAAATATATATTATTGGAAAGGACGTTCTCTGCACCACCAAATTTCAAATCTTCCCACGTGATGGTCTGGGTGGGACCGTCGTCTCAGCAATTCTCGGACTTGATTTTATTGGACGTACCGTGACGTACCTCTTTATGTATTTGGTGAATTTGGTCGGAAATTCAAATACTGTATTTTGCTCACACAAGCGGAAGCTTTGGCCATTGTGTGGAGAAAATGCTGCGAGTAAACCCTGGTTGAAACAAAATAAACCCAATAAGTAAATATCCGCAATGGTGGGTTTATTGTTCGGCTTCCCGCATCAACCCGCCTTTCTTGTTGCTGAGGTCCTGCTGACCACCCAGCAGCTGCATGTCTTGGTGGAGGACGCCTGTCATGTCTTGAAGTATGAGGAGTTTAGGGCAGTGGAGGCTCCAGAGTCGCAGCTGGGCTCAGCGTGCAGCGTTTCCGTTCTGGAACCACCTCATAAGTTCAAAAAGAGGTGATAATTACATATATATATATAATTACTGCTAGTCACAGAATTATGATACATTACTCCTATGATATCTTCTGGTGAATTATTCTATATATAATATTGAATCGTGGTGTGAATAATATCAAATAGGATTCATCATATCAATATCTCATTGTCGTTGTTGTTGTTGTTGTTGTTGTTGTTGCTGTTGTTGTTGTTGCTGCTGTTGCTGTTGCTGTTGCTGTTGTTGATGTTGATGTTGATGTTGGTGTTGATGTTGATGTTGTTGTTGCGGCGGCTCACGGCAGTAGCTGCAGCCCGGGAACACACCTCCACCGGCAGATCGACAGACAAGCTCCGATAAAACCAACCAAGCGTCATTGCAAGTTCTCCCTGCCAGCTTCAGGTGGCCCAAACTAGAGAAGGAAAAAATGGACCGAGCAGACGGACGGGACCAACAAAGGACAAATGCCCACCACAGCAACCAAAAGGGAAAAAAAACACAGCAAAGCAGGCAGAAGCCCAAGCGCGCCAACCACAACAACTAAAGGGAAGATAAACACCCCAGACCGGGCGGAAACCCCAAAGAGCCGAAAGACAAACACTAACCCCAAACCACAGCCACCCATGAGAGGAAGACGAACACCACAGGGCGGGCAAAAGTCCCAGAGCGCCAAAAGACAAACGCCAACCACAACCACCAAAGGAAAGCAGACAGCCCAGGGCAGGCCAAGCCCCAGAACACCAATCAACAAAAACACCAACCCCAACCGCCAAAGCAGAAACACCCCAGGGCGGGCAGAAGCCACAGGGCGCCAAAAGAGAAACACCAACAGCAGCGACCAGCAACAAAGGACAATTGCCAACCACAGCCACCAAGAAGGAAAGAGACACAACAGAGGGGCAAAACACCCAAACAAAAAAACAAATAGACACCTCAACATGGGCAGAAGTCCCAGGGTCCCAGAGCGCCAAAAGACAAACACCGAACACAAACGACAGCCACTCAGGGAAGAAGACGAACACCCCAGGGCAGCAGGAGCCCCCAGCGCCCCACAAGACTAACACCAATCACAACGACCAAAAGGAACGGAGACAGCCCAGGGCGGGCAGAAGCCCCAGGAAGCCCAGAGCACCAAACAAAAAACACCAGACACAACCACCACAAGAAAGACACCCCAGGGCGGGCAGAAGCCACAGGGCATCAAAAGAGGAACACCAACAACAGCGACCAGCATCAAAGGACCAAAACCAACCGCAGCCGCCGACAGGAAGAGAAGCAAAACAGATGGGGCAGAACCTCCAAAACAAAAAACGAAAGACACCCCCGGGCAAGCAGAAGCCCCAGAGTGCCAAAAGACAAACACCGACCACAACCGCCAACCACAACCAGCGACAAACACAAACCGCGGCGGATGAAAGCCGGAAAGTGCGAAATGCAACACAAGCGGCATCGCAAACGCGGCACTGTCACTCTGGCACCAGCTTGGGAGAGGGGATGGGGGGTGCTCGTCGGGAACAAACCCTTAGTGCTGCCCCCGGGGTCCACCCCATCCCATGAAGTCTCACCCAGCCAAATAGTGCAAGACCCGGGGGATCAATATCTCATTATAGTGATCCTATCCCCGCGCATCATGCCAAATCCTCGCGCTTTGAGACCCCAAAATCAACAGATCCACTTTCAAACCATATCTACACTAAAGATATCTATGACGAGAAGTCACTATCGTTCCGACGAGTTTGCGTCCACTGGGCATCCACACCATGAACCGAATATCATCCCAAGATATCCCAAGGGTCTGTTTTTGAGGGAATACCGGCACTGCCCAGTGTTTTTGACATGTGTATACATTTGTCACAATTTGTCCAATGTTGAGCGATCTTCCACACCCCACTTGCCAATGGCCATGTCGGATTGGGACCACACCTGAGGTCAGCTCTGGTCACAATCAGTTCAGCTTCGGGCATATGGCAGCTGCACGTACGCTGTGAAAGCGAGCGCAATGAGCTTGTGCACTTGTTGAGGCGCGGTCCATGGGCTGGTGTGTCTTGTTGTGCCGCTTAGGATGTGTTGACTGAGCTTACTTTTGTAGGATGCATGTACATCGCGCTGATTTTTTAATACCCGACCTCAATTCTTTTATTGAACATGTTTGTGTATAACACTGGCGACGAAATCTGTTGTGAAACTCTGCTTGGCTTTCATGTCATTCGTTGACCTCATTTTTGCCGGCTTTATCCATGGCAGGGCACGCCAAAGAGAAAAGTTGCGTACTCCATTGATAAATGTTTTTCAAAAGGATAATGAATCTAATGAATGAAACATATAGTATGCACAACAATATACTAGGTAGGCTTTAATTTAGTATATTAAATTATATCAGATATGGATCAGGATTTAGGAGGTGGTCCAGGAATTGAACTTCGGAAGCAATTATTTTCTTTGCCAACATGTTTTTCCAGTTTCGTTTGCGCAGCTCTTTCAAAAAAGGTAAATTTGTTCTTGCGCCAGCCACTCGCTAGTGCCGCGCTATGAGCATGCTAGCAGAAATTGACCTGAGCCCTGGTGGGCCCAATATTGGAAATATCGATTCCAAAAAAGGAACACAATTTATAAAAGACACTCGTCAATGTCCCGGCCAGGCATTTCAAGAATTGGTGGTAGTGCCCAACGGTGGGAAAGGGCATTTTGCGAAAGAGCAAAACTAAGGCCTATGGCAAAGTCTTTGAAACGTACGACGAATCTAAGACCCACTTGGTATGACTACCGGATGTCTTATGTATTTCGGTCTCTGGATGTCTCTCTTTATTGGCCTCTCTTTATGCTGGTGGTGTTTGGATCGCTTTTTACTTGTCTCTTTTTATTTGTTACCTACTATGGCTAATGATATCTTATTTTCCGCATATTTTTCTTTACTTATCTTTTAGCTTTTTGGATATCTCTTTTTATTTGTCCTTTTTCCCCACCTGCCAGGTGAGGGTTGTTAGATTTTATCAGAGTTGTTCTTCTTCTCCTCCTCGGCTAGCTGTCCTCCTCCTCCTCCTCTTCCTCGTCCTCCTCCTCCTCTAGTTTCTCCTCGACCATGTCTGCATCAACTTCCACCTTCACTTCCGCCTTGCCAACTCTTCGCCAAGCTCTTTGCCAACTTCCCAGCTCAGTGTGCACTGGGACCTCAACCTGGACCTGCACCGCCGGACCTCAACCTGGGACCTTCCCAGCTCAGTGTGCACCGCTGGACCTCAACCTGGGACCTTCCCAGCTCAGTGTGCACCGCTGGACCTCAACCAGGGACCGTCTCAGCTCAGTGTGCACCTGGGATCTGCCCAGCTCAGTGTGCACCGCTGGACCTCAACCGGGGACCTGCCCAGCTCAGTGTGCACTGCTGGACCTCAACGGGCAGATAGAATGCCAGAAGATATGCCAGATAGAATGTCAGATGGAATGCCAGAAGATACGACAGATAAAATGCCATGAGATGTGCCAAATAGAATGCCAGAAGATATGCCAGAACATATGCCAGAAGATATGCCAGATAGAATGCCAGAAGATATGCCAGACTAAATGCCGAAAATTATGTCGACATTATTCCAGAAGAATATGAGACCATATAAGATGCAACGATAAAATGCCAAAAGATATGTCAGATAGAATGCCAGAAGATATGCCAGATAGAATGCCAGAAGACTTGCCAGATAGAATGCCAGAAGATATGCCAGAACATATGCCAGACGATATGCCAGATAGAATGCCAGAAGATACGCCAGATAGAATGCCAGATAGAATGCCAGAAGATATATGAGTCAGATCACGAAAGGTAGCCTCCTAGCGGGCTACCTTGAGTTTTGCTTTGCGAAGCAAATGGGCGGGCTGGACCCCTTATCCTTGAACGACCAGGAGAAAGGGACCCCCCCTCCCCCCCCCTCGAAGGGAACTCTCGCCATATGCCTGGTGAGTCTCTTCACGCAGCAGCCCCTTCGCAGTGTCTCGTCATCATCACCATCATCATCATCATCAACATCATCATCATCATCCTCCTCATCACCATCATCATTCGACTTGAAATTCGGATTTTTCGACATCCATTTTCCTAGTACGCAACGGTGCAATGAAAGTGACAGATTACCGCAAAAAGAGACATTGGAGTTTGTGCTAACACTGATCGTTTTTTTTTCCCCGCACGATGCGTGAGTCTGACAATGTATGCCTCCAAATGGCTATTTAAATGGACTAAGTGATGAGCAATCATGGACATCGTGTGGTGCTCTCTTTTCGGATCCAGATATCTCCGCTCTGCTCTGAATGTCCAGTTCCATGCCCCCCCCCCCAAGTGAACTCTCGTCGCATGCCTTGTGCGTCTCTTTACGCAGCAGCCCCTTCGCAGTGTCTCATTATCAGCATCATCGTCATCATCCTTATCATCATCATTATTATCATCATCATTATTATCATCATCATTCGACTTGAAATTCGGATTTTTCGAAATCCATTTTCCAAGTACCCAACGGTGCGATGAAAGTGACAGGTTCGAGCATCCGTAGGTACCGCAAAAAGAGACATTGGTTTTGTACCAACACTGATCGTGTTTTTTTTCCCGTACGATGCGTGCGTCTGACTTTGTATACCTCCAAATGGCTATTTAAATGGACTAAGTGATGAGCAACTATGGACATCGTGGGGTGCTTTCTTTTCGGATCCAGATATCCCCGCTCTGCTCTGAATATTCAGTTCCATGCCTCCCCCCCAAGTGAACTCGCATTATATGCCTTGTGCGTCTCTTCCATAGCAATTCCTTCGCAGTATCTTAGTATTAACATCATCGTCATCATCCTCATCATTATTATCATTATCATTCGACTTGCGATTCGAATTTTTCGACATCTATTTATGACATCACTTTAATTTTTGCAAGTAAACGGGTAAAGCAAAGGAACGTCGGCGCTTCTCTATGCTTCGGTTGGACAGAAATTTTCCTTTTGTTTTGTTAAAGCGGTAATTTACCAGTGCATGACGTCCATATTGACAAGATTTGATAAGCCTAAGGCTTGGTGTTAGCAGAAAAGGGCCCGGTCGTATATCGGCTTTTATACTGAGTGATCCCCCGCGTCCCTTGTATTATAACTACCTTTCGTGTTACTTTTCAAGTAGAATATTAGAAGAATTGCTAGTAAGAAAATATATAAATGTCATTATACGAAGTAAAATATTTTTTTTTATTTCTTAGTATTATTGGTAACATCGCAAAATATTTTTATTATAAAATTAGGATATCTAGGGGTATATAAATTTTAATTTAATAATTGTTTATTTTTTTTATATTTTTTGATTTTTATAATTTTTAGTAGAATGATTTTGATTTTATGAAGGATTCGGAGTTAGGATTTATATATATATTATATATATTCCTAAAAACAATAATTTAGATTATTAATTTTAAAGGCATATGGTCGTAATTGGGTTTCTGGTTGGTGGCTTGTGTAATTTTTAATAATTATTTTAATAGTGTTTTTGTGGTGTGTTGGTGTAGTTTTTTGGTGGTGATTTGTTGATTTTTTGGTGGTATTTTTGTGGTGGTAGGGTGGTGCCTTGGTGATATATATATATTTTGATGAATGGGTTTGTAATAATATATCTGATTTATAATATAAATTTATCGAAATATATGGAATATAAAGATTATCGATGGATATATGTGATACGAATATTTATTATTATTTTAGAATTTGTTTTTACTATTATGGGTTTTTGAAAATTTATAATTTATATAATTTTTTTTT